TGTGTGTGTGTGTGTATATATATATATATATATATATATATATATAATGTTTTTTTATTATTTAATTTTTGCAAAATGTTACTTATTGCATATATTCTCCACCTCCAGATCCCTCATGTGATCTCGTCCAGCTGGCCGCAGTGAGTGGAGGTCACACTCTCAACCTCTTCATGGTTCCTGGGCGTCCAGGATTACAGGTTTCAGTGTGAGACGTCACCGTTTGTTTCTCCATCACCAGCTCTCTCTGAGAAGCCCTGCTCTCCTTCATCACCTTCCTCCGGATGCTGGGTCGGCCGCTCCTGGTGGGCCACAACAGCCGCAGGTTTGACTGTCACGTTTTGGCCAGAGCTCTGGATGAGTTCGGCCTTAGGTCAGACTTCCAGAAAGAGGTTTCTGGATTCGTGGACACCCTTCCTTTGGCCCGACAGCTTCTCAAAGACAGTGGCCTCCAGAGCTTCAAGCAGGAGAACTTGGTTAAGACCCTCCTGGGAGTTTCATATGCGGCCCATAATGCTCTAGAGGACGTACAAGCCCTGCAGAAACTCTACTGGGCCCTCAAGCCCACGGCCAATCAGATCCAGCAGCTCATTTTCACTCTGGACTCATTGGCTACTGCAGCTGTCAATCAAGTTCCAGTTAGACCGTCTGGACAGAGCGCTTTATGTGAGCGCTTTAGTAAAGCACTGGATATTACAAGAGAAGAAAGAGCAGAGGAACGTTTGGACGTCTGATTCATGATCTCAGATCAGAAGCACACACCACCTTTATTTAATCAGTATTTATAAAACCAGTTAAGATGCTTTTATTGCAAAAAAAAACAAAACAATGTGACGCATTGGTAATATTTGTATGGTTATGGTTAGCAACTAATGATGTATTTATGTTCTTTAATAAATAAATGTATTTAAATACCTATATATTTTTATTATTCATTTCAGATTTAATTTAGTTATTTAATAATTAAATTAAATTATATTTTTATTTATATATTTAATTTATATTTTCATTATATTTATATAATTTTAAATGTAATATAAATTTTTTTTTATTATCATTAATTTTTTTTATAATTTCTCAAATCTTATAAAATGTTTATTTATATTTATTTATATAATGTATCCTTCTGAAATCATTCTAATAGGCTGATTTAGTGCTCAGCTATTATCAATTATTATTGATGATCAGTTATTAATGATGGTTATTATAAGCAGTTGTGCTATATTTTAACAGTTGTCTATATTTAAATTAGTATAAATATATTTTTATTTATATTTTTAGCATACGTGAATATTTTTAAAAAATAACATTACATTTTATTTATTATTCTTAATTTAATGACCTATTTTCTTTTATATATATATATAAATTTTTTTTTTTTTTTTTTTCCCTCTGGTTTTGGGAACAGGCCCATATGGATCAACTATTAACCTTCATTTACATGCCAGGACTAGATCTTCTACACATAATGAATTTGCTTAGTAAAATAGTGGATTTTTCTAGTAAAAATAAATAAATAAGTACTCTATGTATTTGTGTGAGTACGAGTATAAAACAAAATCATGTATAACACAGAAGTTAACAATAATTCAATACCAATGGTGAATAATAATTAAATATTTACATCATTACAAAAGCTTTACATCATTTCTAAAAGCTTCATTATAAGTCTACTGTATATTGTATGTACAGACTTTTGAAATATAACGTATGTACTCCAAAATGCATTGTTTTATGAAATTTTGCTAGTTGAACTCCATCCAAAAGGAAACAGTAAGAACAGCAACATGACACAGTGTAAGTGTGTAAAAGCAAACACAGTGATCCAATAAAACACAATCGGTTCACGCCCAGGCTGAGAATGATTAATGGAGAACCTAACCTTTGTCTGGGAAACCTGTTGTGTAAGTTTAGCTCATAAAAACCGGTCAGAAACGAGCAGGTGAAAGATTACAGTTATTTATTAGAGATTACATGCTCCATTACAGCTCGGAAAGCGTCATACATTCATTCGCTCGGTCTTTAGCCATCGATCGCATGCTTTGATCCCAGAACACTTGAGAAAATAATACAGCTCCAAAAATATAGAAAGAATCCTGGAAACCAACAGGGTTGAGGTCAGTCTTCTGGTTTTACATGTACGAATCTGACGAGGGCACTAGAAATACAGTAAACAAACATCAGGATGCCGGTCATTCCCAGCATCCTTTGTGCTCTTCACACTGCTAGTGCAAATAGTAACTACAGCAATAAAGCACAACCACACATCAAGCCATACAGTTGCACTTATGAGGAAGAATAGAAATCGGTAGTTTCACATGTATGAAAACACTTTTTCAGGTTGCAGGGTTATTTTTAAAATCAGTTGCACTGGTAATTAAATCACAAAGCTCGTGTCTGTCACAGGAGTGGCTCGTTTAGCGAGAACCTCGTCAATAAAACTGTTTCACCATGTATGTTCTTCATGGAAGAGTGTGTCCTCAACAAGGACTCACTACTGTTCTTTAGTAGTAGTACCATGAAACGCGTCTTAAAAACGTTAAAATTGGTCTAAAGTCTTTGTTACCAGGTTTTAATGTAAAAGTAAAACCGTTACAGTCCTCCATCTGGGTTTTATTTTTTTTGAACATGCAAAAGGTGTTACATCCTTATGCAAAAAAAATCTCTGATGGAACAAATTTAGTTTCATAAAATGTTTATATCTCGCAGCCAATAGTGAGTGATCATGCATCCGTGCATTGAACTTATATACACCAACATGAGATCAAAACTGACTTTTTTTTAACTTTCTTAAAGGAATAGTTGTAGTAGAATTTACTGAAAATTGACTCACTCTCAGGTCATCCGAGATGCAGATGAGTTTGTTACTTCATCAGATTTGGAGAAATGTAGCATTGCGTCACTTGCTCACCAATGGATGTGAATGGGTGCCGTCAGAATGAGAGTCCAAACAGCTGATAAAAACATCACAATAATCCACAAGTAATCCACAGCACTCCAGTCCATCAGTTAACGTCTTGAGAAGCCAAAAGAAACAAATCCATCATTAAGGTATTTTTTAACTTTTTAATAAAATATGGATTACTTGTGGATTATTGTGATGTTTTTATCAGCTGTTTGGACTCTCATTCTGACGGCACCCATTCACTGTAGAGCATCCATTGCTGAGCTACATGCTACATTTCTCCAAATCTACTCCAATGAATGAATGGCCTGAGGGTGACTACATTTACAGTAAACTTTCATTTTTGGCTGAAATATTCCATTAATGCTGGTGGTTTAAACTCTCATTCTGGTGTGACTTTATTCTGGAACGCCCACATTTCATCATCCAATCAAATTCCATCCTACTTTTTTTTTTCCTGACTGAATATTATGTTTCCACGTAAATACGTCACATTATTAAAGTAAAATGGCGTGAACAGCATTTCATGTTGACTCAAAGGAATTATATACTTTTACATATTTCAAAAGAACATGCAGAATCATGTTGCAGTATCATAATTCAAACGGTTTCATTATATATTTTGTTGTTGTTTTTTGGTTAAGCATAGCTATTTTAATACTAAATGTCATCAATAATCATAATTTCCAACTTGAAGGGATAGTTCACGCAAAAATGAAAATTCTGTCATCATTTACCCACCTTCAAATAGTTCCAAGTAAGCAAACAGTTGCTGGTCCCCATTGCCTTCTATAGTAAGGAAAAAAATACTATTGAAGTCAATGGCTACCGTCAACTGTTTGGGTACCAACATTCTTTAAAATATCTTCTTTTGTGTTCAGTGGAAGAAACTCATATAGGTTTGGAACGACTTGACAGAATTTTCATTTTTGCGTGAACTGTCCCTTTAATTGGTGTGATTCGTCATGCATGTTCGTGATGAAGCCAAAAACATGGGAACATGATTTCTACTTGAACTTTCTTTGACCGGTTGGTTTAGATCAGGACAGAACAGACAGACTTTTATGAAGCGGACGTCTCCTACAGTAAGCAGCAGGCTCTGAACATGGTCATGCCTGACGATGATGTCACCTGTAAAGAGACGCTCTCATTGGCTGAAATGAAAAGCACAGAGCCTCGTGTCAGAGTGATGTCAGAGAGGGCCGCAGCAGACGTGGCGACGGCCTCTCCGTCGATGACCAGCAGGATCCCGGCAGAGTCCAGCGCGCTCACAGTGTACTGCCGCGCCGAGGAGGGGATCTGAGAATAACATCACATCACTCTTTAGGGCTGTCAAAAAAAATTTAGAATTTTGAATATTCGTCGAATGTATCGATATAGCAATTTTTTTTATATAGCAAAAACGTTGCATTCGAATTTTAGGTGTGCGTTAAGGAGGCAGCATTATCAGTGGCGCACGAGATGCGATGACGATGTAAGTGTCGTTGCATTTTAATGTTTTTGTTAGCCTATCCAGTTGAAGCCACTAGATGCGCGCTGCTGCGTTGTTAATTACAAATATTGCGGGAAAAGAGAACATCAATGCGGAGATGATGTTGTTTACATCAAAACTGAAACCAAGCTGTTCACACAGAACACATATTTCACGCATTTTCTAGAGGGACGTCTATCACCGTTGCACTCGCATCTCGCACAAAAGAGCCGCATGTTTAGAAAGCCATATAAAATTAATGCAAGTTTAACTTTGAAAAAAAAACTTTTTTTTCTGTTTTTTTCCCAATCCCACTGCAACTCGTGTTTTTAAATGAAAAATGTACTCTGTGTGATTGGCTTTCAGCCCTTTTTATTAAACTATGCATACATACATGATGCCGTTTTGTTTATACTTGTTTAAGCAACTTAATTAATAATAATTGGTTTATAAACATTATTTTAAACATTATGCACTTTTTTTCACAGATAGTCATGTTATCTTATGCTTTGAATAAACGTGCATTAGTAATATTTTGCTCGATGCGCCCTCTTGTGGCCTCAGAAGCTTTTCTTCACCCTAACTGAAATTATGCATTTTAAATTTGAATATAATTCGAATTTTGATCATATTTAAGTACAAAATTCGAATTTAGTTTTCCAGCCATTTTGACAGCCCTGTCACTCTTATAAGCTGCCATTGAATCTATTTGTTTGAGCAGCTGGAATCGGGATAAATGTGAATTGTATGAATATACTTGAGGAAAAGGCCGTCTGGCGCACCTGTATTCTCATGACGGTGAAGTCTGGCACAGGAGGGTCGTAGAGGTAGACGCAGGGGTCGGCGTTGTCCCGCACGCAGGGAAAGATTTTGGCACTGACTGGAGCCGGGCTGTAATTCAACATCTCACACAGCGTGTCCACGTCAATGTATTTGGGAGTCAGTCCGGCGCGAACGGTGTTATCAGAGCACGCCATACACTCCACACAGTCTGCAGGAGCCAGAGAACAATTATACATGCAGATTAGAACATGCATATTAATAAATATTCATTAACACATTACACATGCATCTTAATACATATTAAGTAAAAATTCATGAATATATTTCACAAAAAGTACAATGACAGCCTACAAGAAATAACTGAATATGAAAGAATATTATTTATTATTAATCAATATATTTTACCAAAAGAACAAGACAACCTACATGGAATAATAATGAATAATAAAATAGATTATTAAATGAATATTTATAAATACATTTCACAAAAAGTTCAACTACACAACCTACGTGGAATTAATGAATAATTAAACATTAATCAATGTTAAAAAACAACAACAACCACAATACAACCTATATGAATATTAATTAATATATTTCACCTAAAGTACAACTATGCAACCTACATGGAATAAATGAATATCATGAATATTAATGAATATATTTCACAAAAACTACACAACCTAAATGGAATAAATTAATATTAACGAATATTTCTCACATAAAAAAACAACAACTATACAACCTAAATGGAGCATCTAAATATGAATGAATATTAAATAAATATTAAGTGAATATTAATGATTATATTTCACAAAAAGTACAACTATGCAACCTCCATGGAATAAATGAATATTATAAATTACTAAGTGAATATATTTCACAAAAAATACAACTACACAACCTAGATGGAATAATTTATATTAATTTATATTAAATTAATATTATGGATTATTAAAAGAATATTAATAATTATTCTCAACAAAAACTACAACTACACAACCTAAATGGAATAAATTAATATTAACGAATATTTCTCACACAAAAAAACTATACAACCTAAATGGAGCATCTAAATATGAATGAATATTAAATAAATATTAAGAGAATATTAATTATCATATTTCACAAAAAGTACAACTACACAACCTACATGAAATAAATGAGTATTAAGAAATACTAAAAGAATATTATAGATTATTATGTGAATATTAATGAAAATATTTCACAAAAAATGGAACCTACATGGAATAATTGATTATTAAATGAAGATTAATGAATATATATATATTTTTTTACAAAAAATCTCAACTACACAACCTACTCTAAGCATGATTTTTAACTACAAGCTACAAACTTTGTCTATTTAGATATTTTTAAATTCATTTTTTCAGACTCTACTAAAATATACCGTGGTTTCATCATGGTACGTGTCCAAAAACGTGTTTTATTAGTAATGTGGTGACCTCTGACCTCCAGACAGATAAGCATGAGGCTCATTTGCTCCCAGAAACATGGCCTCCCCCGGCTGCAGCACGATGCGGTTCAGGAAGTAAATGGAAAAGCATCCGATGTCCCCGGGATACTGGGAATGTAGCCGTAGCAACAGTTCTCCATTACTTCCTGAGGTGTCTTTGCCTGCAGCCTCTGGAACAAAAGAACAGGTCAGACGAGTTTCATCTGAAGAGGCCAAATTGATAGAGTGATGAATGTTATTCATGTTTCTCCAGTCTTCAGTGTCACATGATCCTTCAGAAATCATTCTAATATGCTGATTTATTATCAATGCTGGAAACAGTTTTTGGAATGAATGAATGGAATGTTGGGGAGTGGAAGGTTCCTCTTACCTTCCTCTGAGATTCGCTTGACCAACATGTTGAGCTGATCGACAAACAGCTTCTTCTCACAGTTCATCATCCTGGTGAAACACTTCTTCAGAGCGAGAGACGTTCGGCCCGGGTCTCCGTCGGCGCTCTGGAGCTCCTCTGCGGCTTCATTACCGACCAGCGCACGGAACTCTGGGACATCTCAAAAGCACAAACCACACAAAAGTCCACGTGAAACGCTCTTTGCAACCCATTTAACTCCTCTAATGTGTAAGTGTCGGGATATTTAAACATAAATAGGATTCATTTTTTGAGTTTGGCTCATGGAGCACAAAAGCAGTGCCTCAGATTCCAGATTTTAAAATAGTTGTATCTCGGCCAAATATTGTCCTATCCTAACAAACCACACATCAATGGAAAGCTTATTTATTCATCTTTCAGATGGTGTATAAATCTCAATTTCGAAAAAATTACCCTTATGACTGGTTTTGTGGTCCAGGGTCACAAATACTTACTTCTGAGGAAGCCCAAGATTTCATCCATCGGCCGAAAGCCGCAGAGCCCTTCAAACTGAGTGAGAGCGATGGCCATCTCCGGTTTGTGGTTGTTGTCTGGGTAATGTTCAGGAAACTGTGCATGCAGTCTAGCAGCCAATTCCTGTCAGTTAACAACAATTAAGTACACCCCCAAAACAACATCAAGACTTTGTAAAAGAGCATAATAGGACCCCTTTAACAGCATTTCTTTAAAATAGAAATATTTTCTAACTATAGTAGTCTTTACTTTACTACGTTTATCAAGTTAACACATCCATGCTGAATAAAAGTATTAATTTCTTTAAAAAAAAGAAATAAAATTTCTGACCCAAAACTGTTAAACTGTAGTGTATATTGTTACAAACAATTTATATTTTAAATAAATGCTGTTCTTTTGAACTTTTCATTCATCTGTTTTTTTCAGTTTCCAGCTCTGATAATAAATCAGCATATTAGAATGATTTCTGAAGATCATGTGACACTGAAGACTGGAGTAATGATGCTGAAAATTCAGCTGCGCATCACAGAAATAAATAATAATTTAATGTATATTAAAATGGAAAACCGTTAATTTAAATTGCAATAATATTTCAGAATATTACTATTTTTTTCTGCATTTTTATTCAAATAAATGCAGCCTTGATGAGCATAAGAGACTTAAAAAAAGCATTTAAAATGTTACTGATCCCAAACGGCAGTATATATATATATATAAGGAGGCCTACAAATACTTAATTATTAAATAAAGTTTGAAGCAGAAATACTAAATAGCCTAGTGTGTAAAATTAAATAATTTTGCTTGTAAATGTCTCCCTTGTGTCCCTTTATTAATGAAAAACACATTATTTGATACATTTTCATTGCGTCCCTAAAATTTCGTAATGCTCTCCTAAATTGTTTGTGCTTAAGAGCACATGAAATAATATATTTTTTGTGAAAGCACAAAAAATAAGCGTCAAGTCCTGTAATGACAGCATTACTGTACCATAGCTCTTTTATAAGGGGAACTGTCTCCAATCTCACCCGGTTGGGATGCGCCTGGATGGACAGAGCCGTTTTGACAGACAGCACTTTGAAAAGGAACGGGAGCTGCCCGTGGAATGTGTCTTTGACCTTTGACCCCAGGCACCCTGGGAAATCTGCAATCCACTGTCCCAGTGTCCTCTGGGATATCCTGTTGTCTTTGATGAGAGCGTCTCCTTTGGGGTGAGCACCCATCCAAAGCTGGAAAGAAAACAGAAAACAAACATGTAATGATCTATATATATATATATATATATATATATGTATGTATAGTATTATCTCTGTTCTTAAAGGTGAAGTGCATAATTTCTAAAGAAGAAATGGAACCAAAAACTTCAACTTTAATTTGAGAACTGTTCCTTTAAGATGGTTATTTATAGAACAATAAAACACATCTGAACACAAAAAGAAAAAAAGTGAAATAACAAATTACCAAAGACTGGTAGGAAAAAAAGCCAAGTGTTATAAATAAATAATTAAAATCATTTTAAAATAACATAAAAATTATATAATATTATAATTATAAAATACTACTACTACTAATAATAATAATAATGTGTGTTGCCATCACACTCACACAGTTTGAAAGTCTCTTTTTCAGCTTTCGGCTGTGAGTGTTTTAATTTTGTTATTATTATTGCATGGTGTGTAATTAAATACTACTAATAATAATAAAAATTATTATTATTATTTTATTTATATTTAAACTGTTTGAATATCTCTGCATTATATTTAGTTTTTTATTACTACTTTTAATATACTAATACTACTAATAATAATATACTAAAACGAATAATAATAAATAATATACTAATACTAATAATAATATACTACTACTAATAATTTTATTATAATAATAACATAAATAGCAACAAAACAACAGCAATAGTATTATTATATACAAATGCATAATAATAATAATAATAATAATAAAAAGAATGTTTCACGCAATAATACAACAATAATAATAGTAATTATAATTATTATTTTAGATAATATTAAAATATTATAGATAATATTACTGATCATAATAATATATATTATTTAATTATTAATAGATAATATAAAATTAATAGGTAATAATAATAATTATTATTATTATGGAGAATATATATAAATTAGAAATGTTGCCTCGGCAGCTAACTGAAATAAACACTTCAATATCAGTACTGAAATTACAAAAATATAGCTAGAAAAATAAAGCTAAATAGAAATATAGGGATGTTTTTATTGACAAAAAATTATATCTCGATATTTTCTGGGATTTTATCGATAACGATAATTAGACGATATTTTGCTGAGTGTGTTATTGTGCTGGTACCTTAAGGACTGCCGAAGACAGCTGACTCCTAATGTTTTTAATATTCTTCATATTCTGTGTGGTGGTCAGTTCATACTGATAGAAATTAATCTTTTCCAATAAATTTAAACTGATTTTTGCATTTTAACCTTTATAAAGCCATTTTTTCTAAAAGTGTCCATTATCTTTTGAGTCAAATTCTTACATTTAATCAGGGAATTAGAATAATAAGACATTTGGGCTGTTACCAAGCAAATTAAATCAACACAGAAGCTGCATCTGAAGTGGCATTTAGATGTATTTACACACATGTATTTTGTTTAATGCAAGACATGAATGCATTTAACCTGCAATTACAAATGCATAAATAATGTTTTGATATATTAAACATAAAACGTTGAATACTGATATTTGAAATGATTTAAAACATGAAAAAAATCAAAAAGAAAAGAAAGAAAAAGCAGAAATTTGAAATTAAAACCGCCAGCAGGTGGCTCTTGAATTTTGTGATCATTCTAAATGCATTTTAATAGCCTGAATCATGCAGTGAAAGAAAACACACTAAATGCGCACACGCACTAGTCTAGACTTCACGTAATGTATGCGTGCGCTCTGTAGGGATGTTTTGAATGTTTTTTGCAAAATACTCGATAATGTCAAATCGCACATCGTTAAAACAACAATTACGATATTATCGCAGACGATATATATCGCACACCCCTACTATATATATATATATACTAATAACAATATACTACTACTAATAATAATTTTATTATAATAATAACATAAATAGCAACAAAACAACAACAGCAATAGTATTATTATACACAAATGCATAAAAATAAAAAGAATGTTACATGCAATAATACAACAACAATAGTATTTATAATTATTATTTTTTAGATAATATTAAAATATTATAGATAATATAATTGATAATAATATATATTATTTAATTATTAATAGTTAATAATAATTATGGAGAATATATAAAACATAGAATCCTCTTTGATTTATTTCAAGCCATTCCTAACAGTTTGAAAGAATGTTATACTTATATATAATCTACCGGTATTTATGCTAGAGCCTCCCGGCTGGCCCGAGGGTCTGGGTGGGTGTGCTAGTGGGTCAGTAGATTAAGATCCCTGCTGTGATTTGAGTGCAGGCTGAGGGTGAGAGCAAGGCTGTCCATACTGCACCTCTGCATAGGGTCTGGCCTCCTCTATGAGCGCCTGGGGGTCTCCACCGAGCACCAGCCGGGCCACCTCACTGTCCAGACCCGCTTTACCCCAGGCGTAGTGCTGCACCACACAGCACACTGGAAACACTGCGAACAGGGAAAAGACGCTTTTCTACTGCTGTCATTTAAATGAAGGAACCAATGGCTGTGAATCTCATTGATGGGAAATGCTTACAGACTCACACCGAGCAAATAACTAATCCATCCAAACAACACACAAATCAGCGAGAACGACAGCCAGTCGTGTTGTACCTCGAGCCGATCGCGCTGTGTGTGACTGAATGTTTTGTGAAATACAGAATGAAATGTGAAGACAGAGATTTAACTGACCTTTCACTTCCGCCATGTCTGCGACGTCACAGCCCGCCAACCAATCACGAGCCTTTGGATGTAAACAAATATTATCCATATTATAAAATAACTTTTTAATGTATATCCAGGCCGTTCGAATTTCTTTAATCTCAGGTACATTCTGGACGATTAAGTTAACAAAATTAATAGGTTAAAGATATATTGCATTTTTAATATTAATTATTTTCACATTGTAAAACAATAGAGAAGACTAACAGTATAAAGTAATATAATAAACAACATTTAACAAAGTATAACCGGTTAAATTGTGCAAACTATAAAATAAGTAAATGTATATGCATTATATATTATATATGTCTGCTAAATGCATAAATTATTATTAAATTATTAATTATTAATATATGCAATAACAGCCTTTTGCTTTACGTGTTTACAAAACAAGCACTACTGTATAAAATGATGTTGGATGGAACTTGCCCAATAATATTAATAATTCTATAATAAACGACATTGCTTTTTCCATCCTATTAAAATATTTGCAATACAACAATAAGGCAAACACAACATATTGACATTTGACAAAAAATGAAGTAAAAAACGAAATTAGAAAATGAACACACATTTAATAGCAAACAAATTATATCAACACAATGTCTGTATTTTTAATAATTTAAAAACGATTATATATATAATACATGTCTTTATTATAATTTATATTCAAAACAATAGGGAGGAATAAATTCGCAAGAATAGTGCACTAATTAAATTGTGCAAAGAATAAGATAAGAAAATGTGAAAATAGTCATAAATAATCAGAACAGTCCGATAAAATAATCAATAAATCATTATTCAGAATTAGTGGTATGGTTTCACTTTAAATAAAACATGCAAAACTGAAGTAATATTACAAATCGCCACACATTTAAGGAAGAAAAACTCTTAGAGGATCGATTTCTTAAAAACAAAAATCAGTTAACAGTCAGAACGTTTCGTTTGTGAATATAATGTCTGCTATGCAGAATGTAAAAGTTTACCACATAATCAATTTAATATAGAACAAGAACAATCGTCTACGTCGCCGGATGACGTCACGACGCACGCGCGTCACGCTCTCACTACGGAAGTGCTGCTGAGGGGAAACAGCAACGGTCGCAGCTCCGGTGCCGCTCGGTTTGGACTCTAAAGGCGGATAAAGGCCATCATAATGTCGGGATTTGACTCAAACCCGTTTGAAGATCCAGTCGACGTCAATCCCTTCCAGGTGAGAGACGAGCAGTTCCCAGGAGAAGCGCTTCCGAGGGGTTTCAGCTGAAGTTTAGCGGAGTTCAGCAGGGTTTGTGATGATGATGAAGGGAGTTTTGGGTCAGATGAGTTCGGCTCGGCTGGTGACTTGTCACGGTCGCTGATGGCGGTAGTTAGTTAGTTAGTTAGTTAGTTAGTTCTCGCTGGTGAAGGCCAAGGGTGTGGATCCGCGCAGGTTTGGTGACACGCTGAAGGCCTGAGCGCCACTCCTGTTAATGTCACAACGGTGTCTGAATGAGGCTCTGATCAGCTGTGATTCTCACTGAGGGCCGCATAATCAATGCATCAGAAAAACCTCATATTTCTGAACACATCTGTTCAGGACATGCAGGGCGGTCGTTATGCTCTCTGCACAGCATGTTTTGTATTATTAAGCGAAATAATGCATTTTCCATTTTAAGTGAAAACAATAACAAACATGACATTCATTGTACAATGCAGAAAGGTCAGGATCTCATCTCACAGTGATGACAAATAACATGTTTTTTTATCAACAGTAAAAATGTAGGTTAAAATGTGTGTGTACATGTATTTTGTATGTTGCATGTATATTACATGTATTTTCTGTTGCATTTACACACATTTTTGCTTTTTTGCAGTTAATTTCAATAATCCTGCTGTGTGACAAATGCACAATTTATAAAAGTAAAAATATGGAATGCAATAAAACAACAATAATAAACAAATATTATATATGTTGCATTATGTAATAATTATAATGCATTATCTATTATATTATTCACATGTCAGGATCTTGACAGGGTATTTGACAAATGCACTTTTAATCAACATTAAAAGTTTTGATACATATACGTTATATAAATGTTTTTTTTTGCAGTTGACTTTAATAGTTCTTTAAAGCACCATTTAAAAAAAAAATATTGCATGTAGTCTCTTGATTTATACTCATATTATAATTTAGTAATAATAATATTAATAATAATAATAATTTATTTAATATTATATACACACATCATTATTATTATGAAATTATAGCATGCTTAATACTAATTTAACTATTAAATATTTCATTTAAGATTTTTTAAAAATGTTTAAAAAAAGTCTATAATGCTCACCAAAGCTGCATTTATTTGATGAAAAACACTGTAAAGACTGTAATATTGTGAAATTTTACAATTTAAGTTTCTATGTTGTGCTTTCATTGTCTGGAGTCTGATATAGTTTCCAGCTGTTTCTTCCACCTCTAATGCAGTAAATACTGAGTTGTGGACAAAGCAAACATTCCTGTGAGATACTCCAGCTCCCCTCGAAGGGAATCACAGATCTGCTGGAATACAATAATCATTCAGATGTTTAGAGACACAAGCATGCAGTGATTTGAGCACTGAGCAGTGTTGTTCTGCTGAGTCTGATGCTTTACAATGTATATCGTGTTTCATGAGGTGTGGCATAATACCTGCTGATTGTTATGCCAGAAGAGAATGGCTGTAGGGAAGTGTGTGGAGAGAAGCTCATGTGCACACAGTGTTTGTCTAAGGCGGTCGATCTGCTGATAAGGAATCTGTAGTTAAAGGACCAGATATCTGAATGATCGTGGGTTAATCCTCTATAATGTCATCAGACATCATTCTTGATCTGATTCAGGACATTAACATGAACTCTCTTGCAATTCTGCATGCTTAAAGGGGCCATCAGATGAAATTTTCACTTTTTTAGCTTTTTTTTTTTTGGATTTAGCTGAGAAAAGTTAAAAAGAAAACCCGCAGCCAGTTGGTTATGCGCCATCTGAAAGTGTCAATTTGCAGCCGGTTTCTACGTAGATAGCTAGCTATTTGAATAAGAGCACCTCCGAGACATATGTTCAGGTGTCTTGTGGCGACGCTAGGGATGTAACGATTCACTCAACTCGCGATTCGATTCGATTCGCGGTTTTGATTTCACGATTCGATTCGATTCACGATTATTATAATTTTTTTTAACAAAATGAGAGTTAAGGTGAGTTATAAAGTGTATGTCCTTTTATTATTGCTTGGACAAAATGCTGCACATTTCTTTGTGAAATTGAAATATAACACTATAATAATATACTAATATAGCACTTGCATATTACTGCTCTTTTGTTGGTTTTGATTGCTTCTATTGTCCTCATTTGTAAGTCGCTTTGGATAAAAGCGTCTGCTAAATAACAAAATTTAAATATAATGTAAATGTAAATAACAAAACTAAATTGAAATTTTAAAACAAGCCCCAAATTAAATAAATAA